TATATATATATATATATAGTGTGTATACATGTATTTCCTGTATGTGTTTATTATTATATTTGTTTTATGTATTTAATTTTATTTTTGTTTTGCCAAACAGTCCATTTTGTTAAGTGCATCCAAGTAAAAATCAAGTAGGTTAGGTTTGGTGGAATAGTCATTTTGTAAAACAGATGGATGTTCAGAATAGCTGATCCTTATCTCTGAGGGCTAACATCTTCCCACCTTCATACCTTAACCATCTTAATATTGTACTATTTTTCTTTAATGTTTTTATTTCAAGAGGGCATGTGTACTCACCATCAAGAGAGAAGTTGGGAGAGAAAGAGAAAAAGCATTTCCCAATGGGGTATGATCATGCCACAATCCCTTTGCCTCTTTTTCAACACCCCATCAGGGCTTTGGGCATGCACACATGTTCCTCAAGTTACTGGGACCAGAACTGGAATCACGGTGGGCCATGTGAGATCTAGCGCTCCACCTCTGCGCCATCGGACCAGCCCCATATTGTGCTATTGAAACACTTTCTGTGTACTACATTAATTCCTTAGACTTGTTCTTATTTTCCACCCCCCCTTCTGTTTCTTCTTCTTGCAGTATATTTTTACTTTCACATTTAAGGAAGACATGTGAGATCTTCATTCTGTTGACCATTGTGTAAAAAAAATAATAAAAAGTGTTAAAAAATCCACTCCAATCAGGGTTACAGAAGGGATATGACAGGTTATTGGGGAGCTATGAGCCTGAAATATGAAAAGTATATTCAGATCTCCCTCTCTCTCTCTCTATCTATAGATATATCTATATCTATACATAGTTACATATATACATAGATACATATGTGGATCTATATCTATATCTATCTATCTATCTATCTATCTATATATCTATATCTATATCTATATCTATATCTATAACATCTAGAACAGAAAGTAATTCCGAAAAACGATCCCTAGATTTTTAGAATTGATAGCATCTAAATTGTAAAATTTTAGGTAAATGAATAAAAAATTCAGAGTGATGTGGAGGTTAAGGTGGCTGGATCCCATGTGGCCAACTATGTGGTTCAATTCCCAGACCTGGCAGTTTGAAAAATACTCAGGTGCATGTGTGGAGAAGGAATGGAGGAGGAGGGTTTGTGGCATCATCACACCCCACTGGAGGGTGCATACTCAAAATTCCAAAAGGAGGGTGAGATGAAGATGAAGGGATTACAGCCTGACAGTTCCCCATGGCAGGTGCTTTCTCACTTTCCTTCCTTCTCTCTCTCTCTCTCTCTCTCTCTCTCTCTCTCTCTCTTCTCTCTCTCTCTCTAGCTTTCTGGCACGCACACATCTCCTCTCGCAAAAATTTTTAAAAAATAAATAAATAAAAGAGAAATTTTCCTTTGGGCTACGTGGCAGCACAGTGGTAATGCAACTGGACCCAAATAGGAAGGTCTAGGGTTTGCACCCTGGAACTTCCCTGTGCATATTGGGCTGGACCAACTGAGACTGAGGGTGGACTGTGGTGCAAAGACCCTGTTAACGGGGGCCTGCCTGTCTCTCTGTGTCTCTATTTTTCTCTCTCATGGAAGAAATAAATAATTTTTTAGAGAAACAAAAAGAAACATCTAGGGACCAGCAGTTAGCATAATGGCTGTGTCACTGAACTCCCATGTAGCCAACTGCAGTTTGAGTCCTGAACCTGGTGGCTTAAACTCACACCGGGCACGTGTGCATGCGTACCCAAGATCCCAAGAGGAGAATGGAGGAGG